TCCTGACTGTGGTTCCATGATGTTTAAATTGTTTCTTTCTGGCTACTTGCAATATTTTCTCTTTGACTTGATAATTTTGGAATTTGGCTACGATATTCCTTGGCATTTTGAATTTGAGATCTGTTTCAGGAGGTTATCAGTGGATTCTTTCGAGGACTCTTTTATCTTCTGGTTCTAGGACCTCAGGGGAGTTTCTCATGATGACTTTTTTTTTTTTTATTTTAGGCAACTGGGGTTAAGTGACTTGCCCAGGGTCACACAGCTAGTAAGTGACAAGTGTTTGGTCTGAGGCCGGATTTGAACTCAGGTCCTCCTGACTTCAGGGCCGGTGCTCTATCTACTGCGCCACCTAGCTGACCCCTCGTGATGACTTCTTGAAAGATGTTGTCCAGGCACTTTTTTTCTTCATGGCTTTCAGGTAGACCAATAAATTTTAAATTATCTCTCCTGGACCTATTTTCCAGGTCAGTTGTTTTTCCAATGAGATATTTCACATTTTCTTCTATTTTTTCACTCTTTTGATTTTGTTTGACTGATTCTTGATGTCTCATTACCTTCCATTTGCCTAGTTCTTATTTTTGATGAATTGTTTTCTTCAGTTAGCTTTTGTGCCTCCTTTTCCATTTGGCCAGTTGTATTTTTTAAGGTTTTGTTTTCTACCGTCAGTTTTTATCCTTCCTGTTCCAGGCTATTGACTCTCTCTTGCATACCTCTCATTTCTTTTCCAAGTTTTTCTTCTACCTCTTATTTGACTTTTAAAATCCTTCTTGAGTTCTTCCAAAAAGGTTTTTTGGGCTTGAGACCAGTTCATATACCCCTTTGAGGTTTTAGATGTTAGTATATTGATAGTGTTGTTCTCTTCTGAATTTGTGTTTTGATCTTCCCTGTCCCCATAGTAAGAATCTGTGGTCAATGTTTTTTTCTGCTTCTTGTTTATGATGTTTGCCTATTGCCTAGCTTTTAAAGTTCAGCTCTCCTGCTGAAGTACAGGGGACACTGACCCAAGCTTTTTGTGCTGGGGGCCAGGGACCTGGTCACTGGCTTTGTGTTCTGGGGTTCAGGTGCTGGCAGCTGGAGGCTCTAGGGGTCTAGTAGCTTACCTGGTGCTGAGGGGAGGGGGAGGGTCTGAGCCCTGGAGGAGGATGCCTATTTACCCAGGCTGCTTTGAAGCACTGGCAGGTTTGGCTGCTGGAGGACACTTGCCTGCCAGAGACACTTGCCTGCCTAAGGACACTTGCTTGCCTGGAGCTGTGCCTCCTGGAGTTGTGCTGAAGCATGAGGAGGTTTAGCTGCTGCAGGACTCCTGCCTGCCAGGGCACATGGTGGTTTTCCAAGCTGGAGTCTACCGGTTCCCCCGCCTGTGCCAAGGCACTTGGGGGGGGGTCTTAGTGTTGGCACTTGCTTACTCTACCACACTGGGGCTCAGGATCTCCCCCCCGGTTTGCTGAGGTGGGGCTTGTTGCTGTGTCCTGTACTGCTCCCCCTCCACCAGAGCAAGAAGGGGCCTGGATTCCCATTAATCCCCCAAGCTTCCCAGGCCTTGAGACTGCTACACCCTGTCTTTCTGCTGGCTCAGCCGTTCTAGAGTTTTTCCTGGGGTGATATTTTCTGAGCTTTCAGAAGTTAATAAGGGAGAGTAAGAGCAACTTATTTCTTACTCCACCATCTTGGCTCCCAGAAATCCCATCCCTCTTTCTCACTTCTGAATTTTTCTTTTCTTTTTCTCATACCCATGTTCTCTGTCAATGCTCTAACTGCCCTAACAATGATAAAGTTCTTAGGTGTTAAAATTTTCATCTTTCCATATAAGAATATAAACATTTTAACCTCATTGATTACCTTGTGAGTTTTCTTTCATTCTTAATTTTTTATGCTTCTCTTGAATCTTGTATTTGAAAGTCAAGTTTTCGGCTCAGGTCTTTCATCAGGAATGCTTCAAAGTCCTCTAATCTATTAAATCCCCACCCCCCACCCCTTGGAAGGATTATATTCAGTTTTGCTGCTGGATAGTTATTCTTGAATATAATCCTGGCTCCCTTGCCTTTCAGAATATCATACCCAAATTCTCTGATCTTTTAATGTGGAAGCTGCTAAATCTCCTCTCCCTCCTGGAATCTTAACTATGGCACCTGCTACCCTGAGGCTGCAAGTGCTCTAGTTGCTCGTTTTGGCCTTTGGACTGCAACCCAGAACTACTTATGGGCAATGCAACAGGTTCCTGAAGCCAGCACCAGCAAAGGATCTCCTGAAAATCTCCTTGCAACCAGTTGTCCAGCCCCGTAATCCTCCACTCACCTGTCCTGAGCTGGGAGTTCCCAGAGCTGTTTCTGCCACCACAGCAGCCACCTTCAAGGCCCACTGCTGGCAGCACAACACAGCCTGCATTGCCTGGTCTGTGCTGCTCCAGTCCTGACCACCACTCCAGTGAGACAAACCTTTCCTGCCAACCTCCTAAGTTTTCTTGAGCTGGAAAATTTTTCACTTCACCTTTTGTTAGTTCTGCCACTCCAGAATTCTGTTACAAGCATTATTTTAGAATTGTTGGAGGGGAATTTGAGGGAGCTCATCTGACTACTTCTCTCTTTCATCATCTTGGCTCCACCTCTCTCAATTTCAAAATCCAGTGTTCTATTTTCTGTCCTTATCCTCTTGATTTCTCTGAAGCTATCATACTAATGCTCACCCTTTCCTGCTGGTTACTCTCCCCACTCTTGTTTTCATGAGCGTGCTCTCTTTTGGTTCTCTCCATACCTGCTTGACCATTTTTTTTCTCAGTCTCCTTCTCAGGATTTTCAAGTCTCACCTCAGGCTCTACCCTGGGCTCTCTTATTTTCTATTTCAGTCATCTCATAAGGTCCCATGAATTCGACTGTCATCTCCAAGCAAATAACTACCAAATGTGTAGATTTAGCACCACATTCTCTCCTGAGCTCTGGTCTTGTATCACCAACTGCCCTTGGACATCTGTACACAGATATCCCATAGGCATCTCAAATCAGCAAGTCCAAAATAAAACTCGCTGGCTTCTCTCCCAAAACTACTCCTGACAGATATTCCTATTTCTGTTGAAGTTAACACAGTCTTTCCATTCACCCAGATTTGTAAACTTGGATTCATCCTTTACTCTTTATTCTCACACCCACCATAGCCGAGGCTTGTCATTTCTACCTTCACATCTCTCACATGTCTTCTTTTCTCCCTTCACATGGCTACCCAGATCAGGCTTTCATCACCTGGCTACTGTAACAGCCTCCTAATGGATCTCTCTGTCACCTCTCTCTGCAGCTTCTCCAATTCATCTTCCACACAGCTGTTACACTGATATACTTAAAACACAGGTTTGACCATATCACTTCTCTGTTCACAAAAAATTTAAGTGCCTTCCAGTTGCCTCTAAAATAAAATACAGATGTTAGTTTGACATATAAAGCTCTCCACTGTCTGATGTAGACCATCCCTCATGCCTGAAATTCACTGTCTTAATTTCTGCCTTTCAAAATCTTTCTGGTTCCTTCAAGCCTCCACTCAGATTTTCCCAGAGCACCTTATATTGTTTTTTCTTCTCCCTTTCCCGACGTACTAAGTACATGTATCCTCCATCCTTTAGAAGAACACAAGCTTCTGGAGGACAGAGTCTAGCTAAGTCATTTAAATCCCTATCACATTTTCTTACATGTATTATGTGCTTAACAGTTGTTTGAATTAATTAGAATGTAAACTCCTTCAGGGCAGAAACCTTGATGCTTTAATATTTTTTTTATTATACAGCACCTATAATATGCTTTGCAACATTGTTGCTACTTAAGAAGGGTTTAAATTACATTTATTAAATTGAATTAGGGGTAGGTAAGGTGGCACAGTGGATAGAGCACCGGCCCTGAAGTCAGGAGGACCTGATTCAAATCCAGCCTCAGACCAAACACTTGACACTTACTAGCTGTGTGACCCTGGGCAAGTCAGTTAACCCCAATTGGCTTTAAAAAAAAATTGAATAACATTAATGTTGTGACATAGTAGAGTCATTATTGACTTATTGAGAAAGTTCAGGTTTTAAGTTAATGCTTATTAAATGGAATTAAAGTTTTAAGTTGACCTTTCCATTTTCAGGAAGCATTTTTTGGGGGGTTGGGAGGGTTGTCCAAGTTGGATTGGTCCAAGGAGTCATTGACCTGATAGCCTATTGATTAGGGTTTGCCTTTTAGCGTTAAGGAACCTCTTTTTACAATATATTTACTAGATATATTTGCTGGCTTTTCCCCTGTATAACCCCTTTCACTTATGTGAGAAGAGTTGCCATTTCTCTCTGTGAAAACTGACTAGTTCAAAGGCATTTCATGAAGTGCATAAAATCCCAAGGGAGAGATGAGAATTTTGCAATTTGTTGCTAAAATAGATGTCACAGTAACAGTTTGTTATATTAGGGAAACTGAGACTACCCGGCCTTGCCTTTCTGCTTCAAAAGAGGAAGAAGGCCAAGTTTTTATCCTGAGTTTTTATCTCAGAACTTGTCTTCCACTAATCCAGTCAGTACCAGAGCACAAGAGTACCTTTGGAGTGTCCAAGACAGACATAGGACACAGACCATACAATTACTCTGAGGTTCTTTGGTGGGCTGATACATATTGAATTCTTTTCAGAGTCTCAGTGTAAACTTTGAATAAGAATGATAATTCTCCCTCTTCCTTTCCATTTAGTTTTGTGTTTTTTAAACACCACCGTTCATTACACTCTTTGAAATTGACCTGCCCTTGTGGAACACATATAGACAGTTTTTGGAATTTGAAATGTCCCTTTTTCAAGCCTGGCAGAAATTACTTTCTTTCTGATTGTTCTCAGGTGGGATTTCTAAAGTAGTAAAATTTAACCTAAATTACTTTTCCATTATCAATGTTGAATTTGTTGGTTGTGTCTGTGAGGAAATTTTTTTAAAATAGTCAAATACTTTATGTAGCATTAAAATATGCTAACATTTTTTTTAACTCATTTTCCTATTCTAACAGCTTACGGATTCAGAGCTAATTAAACAATGTATAGATGAATGCACAGCAAGAATTGAAATAGGATTGCATTATCAGATCCCATATCCAAGGCCAGTAAGTCTCAGTCCAGTCTCCACGTGTTGGTACTAATCCACTATATCACCCAAACATGGTAATTTCTGAGCATTTCTACTCATGTGACTGGTGGTTTCTGGGAAGCATGATACTGCTGCAAAGGCAGTTAACACAACTTAGACTCTAGATCTGGGGTTCTTAACCTTTTTTGTGTCTTGGACTCTTGACAGTTTATGGACTGTCAAAAACTGTGGACCCATTCTCAAATTGTCTCTTTCCTACATTCATTTTAAAAAATGTTAAATTTCACTTAGAAGTTAGTGAAAATTAAGATGTATTTTTCTTCCTGTTCAAATTCACTGACTTCCTGAAATCTACCTGTGAACCCCTGGGTAGAGAGGTCCATGGTCCCCAGATTAAGAGCCTCTGCTCTAGATTGAGATGGTCTAATCAGAAACTGGGGAGAGGGAAGGGAAGAGGAGTATCTGCAAAATGTTTTAGAATTGAAGTAGCATTACCACCACACTCTTTAAAAGTTCCTTTATTTCTTTTGGGTTTTTTTTGTAGTGGGGAGCCTAGCCCATACGCTATTGTTTTTTCAAAAAGGGAAATCACAATCTCTGGGTTTTCACTTTACCGTCTGACGAAGATATTTTTTCTTTGTGCAGATTCACCTGCCTCCAATGGCCCTCACTCCCCTACAGAGTCGTGGACTTCAAACCCAGGAGAAGCTAAGAAAATATTCCAAACCATTATATCTCAAGTCTCACAATGAAGTTTCTTAATCCAAGAAATAGGTTCTCTGTAAGCTGAGCACAAACTAGATGATGAATATTTTCTACTTAAGTCCAGTCAAAGGAAGGACAAAGAATATAGAGTCTTCGCTGTAATTTCTCTTAAACATTCAAAAATTTGAGTCCTTATTCTCAATAACACCAATTTAATGTCCTTGAATTTATCAGTATCAGTGTGTTGCTACTAGATGGAAATATGCTTCCAAAGATCATTTCTAATCATGATCTTAGTAACATCTTAGATGAAAGTCTGAACATAGCAAGACTCAGGCTTAAATTTAAATTTTAAAAATTAATTTTTTTTTGTGGAAATAATGTAGCTACACAGAGGAAGCTACAGAGTAGAGATATGGCAGTCCCTGTTAGCAGCTTTCTTGGAAGTTCTAAAAATTACTATGGCAATCAAATACTGCCTCAGACTTGTAAATCTCTGTGGGCTTTATTTTCTTTCATATTTGAGTTATATTTTGGTTGTTCTACTGATATCTTTTTTTGGCTCTCTTTATTCAAAGATATACTTTTCATTAATATCCAAGTAGGCTAGTTTCTCCTTTACCACACTGGCAGAGTTCATCATATCATATCCCATCGTCCCATCCCCTTAACTGTTAGTGGAAAATATCATAGTACCTCAGGGAAATTTTGGGGAGGAGGGAATTATCCCAGATTTTCAGGAATTGATGTATTTAATTCTGTCCATTAAATGCATACTTGGTACAAACAAATTCTAAAACATGTGAGTTATAATTCTGGCCTCAAAGCCTCACTGCAAACTCATACTACAATAGGTTAAAGTAATCACTATTTCTAATAGACAAAATTGGAATCTCACAAGTAGAAGAACATGCTGTATAAATTACAGGGCTAGGCTGATTTGAAATTATATACACATAGGAAAAGGAAAATCTAGATCAAAAGGAGAAAGGACTGTGCTTTTGTGATAAACCAAGGGGAAACCCTACTTATAGTCACTGTACATCAATCAGTGTTTTGTTTTCAAAGATGATGAAAATCTTCAGTAAAAATTGTTTATAAATGTTTGTCTTTACTGTTTGTGCCCATTCCTAAAATTACTTTGCAGCAGGTTTATAGTCTATTGATTTTAGTTAGGTAACAGAAAGAGTGCTACATTTGGAATCAAGAAGCTTTCTAATTAGAATAGGGCTGGCTCATATTGCCACAATCTTCATTATCCTAATTTTGGAAATAAAAGAGTATCTCCACAGATGAGGACTATCATGAGATAGAAGTAGGCTTAATTAGACTTAGAGGAGAAGGAGAAGGGCTTTAAGTTCTACAAAACATTTTCCCCACAGAGGTGTTTGGTGAATGATAGATCACTGGACCTGGAGTCAAGGAAGACCTAAGGTTGAATCTGTCTCAGACACTGACCAGCTGTGTGACCCTTGGCAAGTCACTTAACCTCTTTGGAACTCAGTTTCCTCATCTGTAAAATGAAGGGGTTGGGCACAGTGCCCTCTATGATCTTTTCCAGCTCTAAATTCATGATCAGAGAGTCATCTGCTGGGATATTTGTGAAACAGACCCCACAGTTTTTCACCAACCTAACCTCTAACCATCTCAGAGATGCTAGCCTCTAATTCACCAAGGTTTCAGGAGAGCATATTGCTCCTGTGCATGAGTAAGCAATCATGCTTTATGGATAAAAAAAATGTAATGATATTGAATTTTAGGCAACATATTGTTTCAGATTTTTAAAGACAAAAATTATTCATTGACCCCTGTCGTTTTTGGGAAATAACCCTCTTTCCCCTTCCCCCTTTACTTTTAAGTGGGAGGCTGGGCTTTGGCTCATTTTAGCAATTTTAATGCAGTTGTTCACTTAGCAAATCCTTAATAGCTTATTTATGTGCAATTTGCTTTAAGGTACAAAACTCCTCAGAACTTGCTCTTTGCATGGAGCCTTATATCCCTTACAACCATGAAGCAAAGCAGTGGTTTTACATGCTTTTAAAGTGGGTTTTGTCACTATGCCTTTCACCTGCTATTCTCATTATGCCTTCTGAGGCAACATCAACCCACCATCAACGCAAGGAGGACTTTTTGTCCCTATAGCCATAATTGTCACAGTTTGTGTATCTTGGGCAAATCTCAAAAATTACAAAATATCCCCCTCTCCTTTTGGAAAATAAGGCCCCTTCATTATCCACTGGAGTCTTTGGATGTTCACTATAACAGACACAACCTGGTTTATCCCAAAGTACCATGGAGAGCAAAATTTTCTGACATTAAAAATATTTAAAATATTCAAATATGGCAGAGTAAAGTGAGCATTTTTGCCAAGTTCTCACAACATTCCTCTCTAAACAACTTTCAGAAACTTGTCAAATTGAATTTTAGGTGACGTAACAAACAGTCACAGTCATTTTTCTAGCCCAGAACAGGTTAGGAGGACAGAAAAAGTGGTCTGCAGACACTGGGGTTGGAGGCTGGCTGGGGCCTTGGCATGGTGGAAGATAGATCAGCTTTGGGCCTTGGAGGCATCAGTAGCAGTGGTGCTGAGACCAGCAAGAGTAAGAGGATTGAACACCTGGTCAGAAAGATTACAGGAGACCTGTGTGCTAGTACCAGACACTGGACCAGGTGCCATTTGGCAACTGTACTGCCCATTACCCAGTTCAGACAGGGGCCCTACCTGGGTATGGACGAGAGTACACATCAAGAGGGGAGTGACCATACCTTTCCCCAGATCATATTACCTTAGAAGCACTGAAAATTTACAAGCTCCCCTGGACCTAGGGGTGAAAACAACAGGACATAAAAGCTTGAAGTTCAGGGACAGTCGCATACTTTCTCTCCCAGAGGTAAGCAGAACCCAAATGAAGTCCAAAGTCAAGAAGTAGGAAAAATGAACGAACAAGCAAAAAAAACCCAAAAAAAGTGACAATAAAAAGCTACTACAGTGACAGAAAAGCTCAAGACACAAACACAAGATGGCAATGACTTGAAAACATCTACAAGGAAAACCTCAAAGGAAAAAAATAATGAAGATTGGATATATGCCCAACAAGAATTCCCAGAAGAGCTTAATAAAGAATTTTTTTTGAAAAAGCAAAAAGAAAATAATTTTTAAGAATAGAGGGGGAGAAGAAAAATTAGGGAAAAATGGAAAATAATGCAAGAAAATTATGAAAAGGGCATTCATAGCTTGGTAAAAGGTATAAAAAAAACTGAAGAAAATTAACTTCTTTAAAATGAGAGTTGTCCAGATGATAAAAGAGGTGCAAATCCTCCCTGAAGAAAATAATTCCTTAGAAATTAATGATTCCATGAGACAAGAAATAATAAAACAAAATCAGAAGACTAGAAAAAAAAAAGTGAAATACCTCATTGGAAAAACAACTGACCTGGAAAACAGATCAAGGAGAGATAATTTAAGAATTATTTGACTACCTATCAGATTGTACAACATGATAAAACAGGAAAATGAGAAATGTTGGAGAAGATGTGGGAAAATTGGAACACTAATGCATTAATGGTGGAGTTGTGAAATGATCCAACTATTTTGTAGAGCAATTTGAAACCATCCGAAGAGTAAAAATGTGCATACCCTTTGACCCAGCAGTAGCACTTCTAGGGCTATATTCCAAAGAGATCATACAAATGGGAAAAGGCCCCACATGTACAAAAATATTTATAGCAGCTCTTTTTGTAGTGGCAAAGAATTGGAAATTGAGGGGATGTCCATCAACTGGGGAATGGCTTAACAAGTTGTGGTATATGGCTGTAATGGAATGCTATTCTGCTATAAGAAATGATGAGCCTTTTCCCCCAAGATGGTGCTGAAGGGGAAGAAGGAAGTGGTTGTCCCCCCCAAGACAGAAGCTAAGTTCAAGGCTTTAAAGGCCAAGAAGGCAGGGCTGAAGAGTATTTACAGCCACAAAAAGAAGATCCAAATGTCTCCCACATTCCGGCGACCCAAGACACTAAGACTACGATGGCAGCCCAAATACCTGAGGAAAAGTGCCCCTTGGAGGAACAAGCTTGACCACTATGCCATCATTAAGTTTCCCTTGAGCACTGACTCCTCTATGAAGAAGATTGAGGACAACAACATGCTGGTCTTCATTGTGGACATCAAGGCCAACAAGCATCAGATCAAGCAGGCCATCAAGAAGCTCTGTGACATTGATGTGGCTAAGATCAACACGCTGATCCGACTTGATGGAGAGAAGAGGTGTATGTCCGACTTGCTCCAGACTATGATGCTTTAGATGTTGCTAACAAAATTGGAATCATCTAAACTGTGTCCAGCTGTCCCACTCCACCTACAATAAAAAGTTTTCCAGCATAAAAAAAAAAAATGATGAGCAGGCAGCCTTCAGAGAAACCTGGAAAGATTTGTATGGACTGATGCTGAGTGAAGTGAGCAGAACCAGGAGAACACTGTACACAGTAACAGCCACACTGTGCGATGACTAATGTTGATAGACAGCCCTTCTCAGCAATGCAAAGATCTAAGACAATTCCGAAAGACTTAGGGTGGAAAATGCTATCCACATACAAAGAAAGAACTATGGCATATGAATGCAGATCGAAGAATACTATTTGCTGTTTTTTTTCTTCTGTTGTGTTTTGTTTCCTCTTTCTGGTGGTTACTCCTAATGGTTCTGATTCTTCCTTACAATAGCACTAACGTGAAAATATGTTTAATAGGAATGTATATGTATAGCCTAAATCGATTGCACACCGTCTTGGGGAAGGAGGGGGAGAAAAATTTAAAACTCAAAAGCTTATAGAAGTAATTGTTGATAAATCAAAATAATTTAAAAAATTAAAAACAAACAAACAAAAAGAATTATTTGACTACCTGAAAGCCACAATCAAAAAAAAGACCCCAAATATTATCAAGAAATTATCAAGGAAAACTGCTTTGATATCTTAAAATCAGGAGGCAAACTAGAAATTGAAAGAATCCACTGACCACCTCCTGAAAGAAATCCCAAAATGAAAACTTCCAAGAATATTATAGCCAAATTGAGGGCCTCCTACGTCAAGGAGAAATTACTGCTAGCAGTGAGAAAGAAATAATTCAAACACCATGGAGCCAGGCAGGATCATATAAGATTTAGCAACTTCCACATGAGAGGAGTGGAGAGCATGGCATATGATATTCTGAAAGATAGGAGCTGGAATTACAACCAAGAATAACCTACCCAGCAAAACTGAGTATAATGCTATGGGGGTATGGGGAGGGGGGGTGATGAATGGATATTCAGTGAAATAGAGGACTTTCAAGCATTTCTGATGAAAAGACCAGAGCTGAATAGAATATCTGTCAGTCAAACATAGATTTAAGTATAAAAAGCAAACATGAGTGAGAAATCATAAGGAACTGAATAAGATTAAAGTGTGTACATTACCAGAAGGGAAGATGATACATGTAACACCCTGAGAACTTTATCATCCTTAGGACAGTTGGAAGGAGTCTACCTACAGAGTGCATGGATGTGAGTCTATCATAATTGGGATGATCTCAAAAGAAAGACGGGAGGGTGAGAAAGAAAGATATGAGAGGAAAGGAAGAATGGGGGAAAGTATCTCACATAAAAGAGACAAGGAAGAGTTTTTTACAATGAGGAGAACAGACAAGACTGATGTTATTCTCATCTGAACTGATTCAAAGGGGGAAGAATAAATATATATGTGTGTGTATATACACAGTTGCATATAGAAATTGATCTTACCCAACAGGAAAGTAGGAGAGAATGGGGCTAAGAGAAGGATAATAAGAGGAAGGGTAGATTACAGTGGGTAGTGGTCAGAAGCAAAATAGACATTTAAGGAGGGGACAGTTTAAAAAAAAGTGGGATAAATAAAAAAGAATAGGATGGAAGGAAATACAGATAGCCATCTTAACTAAATGTGAATGAGATAAACTCACCCATAAAATGGAAGCAGGTAGAATGATTAGAAACCAAAATCCAACAATGTTTTTTACAAGAGACACTTGACACAGAAAGACAGAGTTAAAATAAGAGGCTAGAGCAGAATCTACTGTTTCAGCTTAAGTAAAAGT